TATAGTGTAGTAGTAGTGTGTATAGTGTAGTGTATAGTGTAGTGTGTAGTGTAGTATTAGTGTGTATAGTGAAGTGTATAGTGTAGTAGTAGTGAGTATAGTGTAGTGTGTAGTGTAGTATTAGTGTGTATTGTGAAGTGTATAGTGTAGTAGTAGTGAGTATAGTGTAGTGTATAGTGTAGTAGTAGTGAGTATAGTGTAGTGTATAGTGTAGTGTATAGTGTAGTATTAGTGTGTATAGTGTAGTTTTAGTGTGTATAGTGTAGTGTATAGTGTAGTAGTGTGTATAGTGTAGTATATAGTGTAGTGTATAGTGTAGTGTGTAGTGTAGTATTAGTATGTATAGTGTAGTGTATAGTGTAGTAGTAGTGAGTATAGTGTAGTGTATAGTGTAGTAGTAGTGAGTATAGTGTAGTGTATAGTGTAGTATTAGTGTGTACAGTGTAGTGTATAGTGCAGTGTATAGTGTAGTAGTAGTGAGTATAGTGTAGTGTATAGTGCAGTGTATAGTGTAGTATTAGTGTGTATAGTGTAGTTTTAGTGTGTATAGTGTAGTGTATAGTGTAGTAGTGTGTATAGTGTAGTATATAGTGTAGTGTATAGTGTAGTGTATAGTGTAGTATTAGTGTGTATAGTGTAGTGTATAGTGTAGTAGTAGTGAGTATAGTGTAGTGTATAGTGCAGTGTATAGTGTAGTATTAGTGTGTATAGTGTAGTTTTAGTGTGTATAGTGTAGTGTATAGTGTAGTAGTGTGTATAGTGTAGTATATAGTGTAGTGTATAGTGTAGTGTGTAGTGTAGTATTAGTGTGTATAGTGTAGTGTATAGTGTAGTAGTAGTGAGTATAGTGTAGTGTATAGTGTAGTATTAGTGTGTATAGTGTAGTGTATAGTGTAGTGTATAGTGTAGTATTAGTGTGTATAGTGTAGTTTTAGTGTGTATAGTGTAGTGTATAGTGTAGTAGTGTGTATAGTGTAGTGTATAGTGTAGTGTATAGTGTAGTGTGTAGTGTAGTATTAGTGTGTACAGTGTAGTGTACAGTGTAGTGTATAGTGTAGTAGTAGTGAGTATAGTGTAGTGTATAGTGTAGTATTAGTGTGTACAGTGTAGTGTACAGTGTAGTGTATAGTGTAGTAGTAGTGAGTATAGTGTAGTGTATAGTGTAGTATTAGTGTGTATAGTGTAGTGTATAGTGTAGTGTATAGTGTAGTAGTAGTGAGTATAGTGTAGTGTATAGTGTAGTATTAGTATGTATAGTGTAGTGTATAGTGTAGTAGTAGTGAGTATAGTGTAGTGTATAGTGTAGTAGTAGTGAGTATAGTGTAGTGTATAGTGCAGTGTATAGTGTAGTATTAGTGTGTATAGTGTAGTTTTAGTGTGTATAGTGTAGTGTATAGTGTAGTAGTGTGTATAGTGTAGTGTATAGTGTAGTGTATAGTGTAGTGTGTAGTGTAGTATTAGTGTGTATAGTGAAGTGTATAGTGTAGTAGTAGTGAGTATAGTGTAGTGTGTAGTGTAGTATTAGTGTGTATAGTGTAGTGTATAGTGTAGTATTAGTGTGTATAGTGTAGTGTATAGTGTAGTGTATAGTGTAGTAGTAGTGAGTATAGTGTAGTGTATAGTGTAGTATTAGTATGTATAGTGTAGTGTATAGTGTAGTAGTAGTGAGTATAGTGTAGTGTATAGTGTAGTAGTAGTGAGTATAGTGTAGTGTATAGTGCAGTGTATAGTGTAGTATTAGTGTGTATAGTGTAGTTTTAGTGTGTATAGTGTAGTGTATAGTGTAGTGGTGTGTATAGTGTAGTATATAGTGTAGTGTAAAGTGTAGTGTGTAGTGTAGTATTAGTGTGTACAGTGTAGTGTATAGTGTAGTGTATAGTGTAGTATTACTGTGGATAGTGTAGTGTATAGTGTAGTATTAGTGTGTATAGTGTAGTGTATGGTGTAGTGTAGTAGTGTAGTATATAGTGTAGTATATAGTGTATAGTGTAGTGTATAGTGTAGTGTACAGTGTAGTGTATAGTGTAGTGTATAGTGTAGTGTGCAGTGTAGTGTACAGTGTAGTGTACAGTGTAGTGTACAGTGTAGTGTACAGTGTAGTGTACAGTGTGGTGTACAGTGTAGTGTGCAGTGTGGTGTACTACACGGATCGACTGAGCGAGTTGGGTGCAGCAGGGGTGACCGTCACCTTTTCTCATTCCCGTAAGATTTCTGAGCGACCTTTGCGTGGAGAATTAACACCGTTTGATCTCCCCGCTCCTTGAGGTAATTACGCATAGCTTCCCTGCACACACGCACACACACACGCACACACACGCACGCATACACGCACGCACACACACACACGCACACACACACACGCACGCACACACACGCACACACACACACGCACGCACACACACACGCACACACACACGCACGCACACACACACGCACACACACACACGCACACACACGCGCACACGTACACACACGCACGCACACACACATGTGAGTGTGTGTACACGTGTGTGTGTGTACACGTGTGTGTGTACACGCGTGTGTGTGTGCGTACACGCGTGTGTGCAGTGTATACAGTGTGTGCGTTGTGTGTACAGTGTGCGTACAGTGTGCGCAGTGTGTGTAGTGTGTGGGTGCGTGTACAGTGTGTGGGTTTGTGTACAGTGTGTGTACAGTGTACGCAGTGTGTGTACAGTGTGTGCAGTGTGTGGGGTGTGCAGCGTGTACAGTGTTCACAGTGTGTGGGTGTGTACAGTGCGTACAGTGTGTACAGTGTGTGTACAGTGCGTGTACGCGTACCTCGTGAGTCGTTTTGGTTGAGGTCGCTCCCCAAATTGACCCCTGAGGAGGGGGCCGAGAGAAGCAGCAGCAGCGGGAGCAACGGGTCAGTGAGGAGCAACACAACAACAACAACACAACAACAACACAACAACAACAACACAACAACAACTACACAACAACAACACAACAACACAATCACTACACAACAACAACAACACAACCACTACACAACAACACAACCACTACACAACAACACAACAACACAACAACACAACAACACAACCACTACACAACACAACACAACAACACAACCACTACACAACAACACAACCACTACACAACAACACAGCACAACCACTACACAACACAACCACTACACAACAACACAACAACACAACCACTACACAACAACAACACAACCACAACACAACAACACAACAACAACACAAGCACTACACAACAACAACACAACCACTACACAACAACACAACCACTACACAACAACAACACAACAACAACACAACAACAACACAACAACACAACAACAACACAACAACAACACAACAACAACACAACAACAACAACACAACAACACAACAACACAACAACACAACAACAACACAACAACAACACAACAACAACACAACAACACAACAACAACACAACAACAACACAACAACAACACAACAACAACAACACAACAACACAACAACAACAACACAACAACACAACAACACAACAACAACAACACAACAACAACACAACCACTACACAACCACTACACAACAACACAACCACTACACAACAACACAACAACAACACAACCACGACACAACACAACATCACAACCACTACACAACAACAACACAACCACTACACAACAACACAACAACACAACAACAACACAACAACAACACAACCACTACACAACAACAACACAACAACACAACCACTACACAACAACACAACAACAACACAACCACAACACAACAACACAACAACAATAACACAACCACTACACAACCACTACACAACAACAACACAACCACTACAAAACAACACAACAACACAACCACTACACAACAACACAACACAACAACAACACAACAACAACACAACCACTACACAACAACACAACAACAGCATAACCACTACACAGCAACACAACAACAACACAACAACAACACAACAACACAACCACTACACAACAACAACACAACAACAACACAACCACTACACAACAACAACACAACCACTACACAACCACTACACAACAACACAACAACAACACAACTACACAACACAACAACACAACAACACAACCACTACACAACCACTACACAACAACACAACAACAACACAACAACACAACAACACAACAACAACACAACAACACAACCGCTACACAACAACACAACAACACAGCCACTACACAACAACACAACCACTACACAACAACACAACCACTACACAACAACAACACAGCCACTACACAACAACACAACAACTACACAACAACAACAACAACACAACCACTACACAACAACACAACCACTACACAACAACAACACAACCACTACACAACCACTACACAACAACAACACAACTACACAACACAACAACACAATCACTACACAACAACAACACAACCACTACACAGACACTACACAACCACTACACAACAACACAACAACACCACAACCACTACACAACAACAACACAACAACACAACCACTACACAACACAACAACACAACCACTACACAACAACACAACCACTACACAACAACAACACAACAACACAACCACTATACAACACAACAACACAATCACTACACAACAACACAACCACTACACAACAACACAGCACAACCACTACACAACACAACCACTACACAACCACTATACAACACAACAACACAATCACTACACAACCGCAACACAACAACACAACCACTACACAACCGAACAACACAATAACAACACAACCACTACACAACCGCAAGACAAAAACAAAACAACCACTACACAACAACACAACCACTACACAACAACACAACCACTACACAACAACACAGCACAACCACTACACAACACAACCACTACACAACCACTACACAACACAACCACTACACAACAACACAACCACTACACAACAACACAACCACTACACAACAACACAACCACTACACAACCACTACACAACAACACAACCACTACACAACAACACAGCACAACCACTACACAACACAACCACTACACAACACAACCACTACACAACCACTACACAACAACACAACCACTACACAACCACTACACAACAACACAACCACTACACAACAACACAACCACTACACAACCACTACACAACAACACAACCACTACACAACACAGCCACTACACAACCACACAACACAGCCACTACACAGCCACTACACATTCACTACACAGCCACACAACACAGCCACTACACAACCACTACACAACACAACCGCTACACAACCACTACACAACCACACAACACAACCACCACACACAGCAACACAACCACTACACAACCACTACACAACAACACAACACAGCCACTACACAACCACACAACACAACACCACAACCACTACACAGCCACACAACACAACCACTACACAACCACACAACACAACAACACAACCACTACACAACCACACAACACAACCACTACACAACCACTACACAACCACCACACAACCACCACACAACCACAACACAGCCACTACACAACACAACCACCACACACAGCAACACAACCACTACACAACAACACAACACAGCCACACAACACAACCACTACACAACCACTACACAACCACCACACAACCACAACACAGCCACTACACAACACAACCACCACACACAGCAACACAACCACTACACAACCACTACACAACCACAACACAGCCACACAACACAGCCACACAACACAGCCACAACACAGCCACACAACACAGCCACACAACAAAACAGCACAACAGCCGCCCATCAACACAATACCACGGTGGCTGAACGCAACACAGAATGTGCCTGTGCGATAGCCGTCATCGGAACCGGTCCTGGGCCTCCCCTAGGTCGACTCGGCCTCAAATGAGTACCTGGTGTAGTATCGGTGTAGTGTAGTGGTGAACATCGCTAGCACTGGGGGAGAGACAAAGGCGGCCGGGCGGGCGTGCTGCTGGCTACCCACCCCCTCTGTGTGTGCCACAGTGCCGATAGCCTTCATAGACGCTGCTGCTGCTAACAGCACTTGCCCCTACAGCCTGCTAGAGGCTACACGGGGGACCTTTGTCTGTGTCTACCTTCATAGACGCTGCTGCTGCTAACAGCACTTGCCCCTACAGCCTGCTAGAGGCTACACGGGGGACCTTTGTCTGTGTCTACCTTCATAGACGCTGCTGCTACTAACAGCACTTGCCCCTACAGCCTGCTAGAGGCTACACGGGGGACCTTTGTCTGTGTCTACCTTCATAGACACCGCTGCTGCTACTCGCTACTAACAGCACTTGCCCCTACAGCCTGCTAGAGGCTACACTGGGGACCTTTGTCTGTGTCTACCTTCATAGACGCTGCTGCTACTAACAGCACTTGCCCCTACAGCCTGCTAGAGGCTACACGGGGGACCTTTGTCTGTGTCTACCTTCATAGACGCTGCTGCTGCTACTCGCTACTAACAGCACTTGCCCCTACAGCCTGCTAGAGGCTACACGGGGGACATTTGTCTGTGTCTACCTTCATAGGCGCTGCTGCTGCTACTCGCTACTAACAGCACTTGCCCCTACAGCCTGCTAGAGGCTACACGGGGGACCTTTGTCTGTGTCTACCTTCATAGACGCTGCTGCTACTAACAGCACTTGCCCCTACAGCCTGCTAGAGGCTACACGGGGGACCTTTGTCTGTGTCTACCTTCATAGACGCTGCTGCTGCTACTACTCGCTACTACTAACAGCACTTGCCCCTACAGCCTGCTACAGGCTATACGGGGGACCTTTGTCTGTGTCTACCTTCATAGACGCTGCTGCTGCTACTAACAGCACTTGCCCCTACAGCCTGCTAGAGGCTACACGGGGGACCTTTGTCTGTGTCTACCTTCATAGACACTGCTGCTGCTACTCGCTACTAACAGCACTTGCCCCTACAGCCTGCTAGAGGCTACACGGGGGACCTCTGTCTGTGTCTACCTTCATAGACGCTGCTGCTACTACTCGCTACTAACAGCACTTGCCCCTACAGCCCGCTAGAGGCTACACGGGGGACCTTTGTCTGTGTCTACCTTCATAGACGCTAATACTCGCTACCATTAACAGCACTTGGCCCTACAGCCTTGCTAGAGGCTACACGGGGGACCTTTGTCTGTGTCTACCTTCATAGACACTGCTGCTACCAACAGCACTTGCCCCTACAGCCTGCTAGAGGCTACACGGGGGACCTTTGTCTGTGTCTACCTTCATAGACGCTGCTGCTACTAACAGCACTTGGCCCTACAGCCCTGCTAGAGGCTACACGGGGGACCTTTGTCTGTGTCTACCTTCATAGACACTGCTACTCGCTACTAACAACACTTGCCCCTACAGCCTGCTAGAGGCTACACGGGGGACCTTTGTCTGTGTCTACCTTCATAGACGCTGCTGCTGCTACTCGCTACTACTAATAGCACTTGCCCCTACAGCCTGCTAGAGGCTACACGGGGGACCTTTGTCTGTGTGTGGGGAGCGGTGGTGTAGCGGGGTCAGCGCGTTTGCCGCGCCTCCCAATCTGTTCCCTCTGGAGCAGAAGACGCCTCAACACTCCCAAGGTCACGACCCCACTACAACACACACACCCCAACTCTTACACACGGCCACACAACATACACCACACACCACACTACACACACACACCACACACTACAACACACACACCCCAACTCTTACACACGGCCACACACTACACACACACACATACACCACACACACATACACCACACACACATACACCACACACCACACACACACCACACTACACACATACACCACACACACATACACCACA